CACATGATGATTCATTCTGTCCAAGGTCTGTCTTGTAAGGCTATTCTAAAAACAAGATCTGACAACTCAAAAGTGTACATTAACAACTAAACTGATAAACACCACCCTGATATCCCTTCCCTGTACTACTGAAAAGTTGACCTACAGAACACAAAACCTGTTCAGAAACTGGTGACACACAAAAGCTGGACTCTGCAGGAAAATGGAACTGAGACATAAAATCTCATTTGGGAATACTTTGGCCCAGTAGGTTATATGCCACTGTATGTGAACCTAAGTAAGACAGGGGGATGCCATTCTAAAAAAGGGCTCCAGAAAACAGAAAGGCATGGAGAGTAGAAGGAGAAAAATAAAAGATACAGACCTGGAGTTTAATAAAAGGTACTCAGGGGACTTCAGAAAAAAACCCACGTCCTGCACTTCAAGTCAGGACACATTCTTCAGCACTTCTACTGAAGGGGTCAGAGGAGACTGCTTAGCTAGAGAAACTGCTGAAGAAGCTTAAGGTGATCTTCAGTATTCTCTGTACCTACTGCATTGCTGATAGCCAGAGAAGAGGGTAAAAGCACAACTAGATAATGAAGAAAAGGAGGTTTCAAAGCCTGAACCAGGAGATGTTCAAGCAGTGAAATCTAACAAATAGTCTCTGCTTCAAAATGTGAGCTATTTACCTGCTGAGACTGAGGTTAGCATGATGGATAAAAAGAGCTTTAAACTAAGGACAAAGATTTCATTTTTATCTCCTCTTAATACCTAGAAGGAAAAAAAAAAAACAACAGCTAAAGGGGGACAGAGCAACCAAAAAAAAAATAATGAGAAAGAAAAACGCTAACATAATGAGAGGAGTCAGGCAAATAACAAGATTTGAGGAAGAGGAATATTGTAGGTATGAAATCAAACAAGACTGATATGAAACAGTTCGACTAATTGTAAGCTAAGGAAGAAGAGAATCCAGACTCCTTTTATTTGCTGTCAGAATTTTGTTGTCTTCAGATATGAGAAAACATTTTCAGCAGTACTTATACAACTGAAATGAATCTGTTTTAAGTGCTGAAGGCGTTTCTTAAAAATAAGGTAGGATCCTAAAATCAATCAGACACTATTTTACTAAATATATTTCTTAAGTACAATCAAATTGCTTTATAGCTTCTTGTCGGTCTGGCATATAATGGAACATTTATCCCCAGTGGCCTTTACACTTGCCTAAACCAAGCTTTTTTAATTAAGCACATGCAAATTGGAACTTACTGTGCTTGTACACATCTGTGTAGATTATGAACACATCTGCAACATATATGACTATTATTCTTTCAAAGTAACATAACATAGACTCCAAGTAACAGGCGAGCTTACACTTTCAGTACCGTGTAATGCAACCATAAAACCACCATTTCGTATCATTTTTATGGCATAAATAAAAAACTGAATTAATATTTTCCCCAAGTGCTTGAAACAGAAGTCTCAAATCTCCAGTAGAAATACGCACTTTAGATTTACATGAATAGAACTTCTGTTTGGCTTCATGCTAAAATCACAATTTTTCATCTCCTCTGGACATCCACAAATCTCTATCCAATCACTGTAAGATAATATAGTAAAGGTCCTCAGTAGAAAATTAAGCCTTTGTAAAGAAACTTGTCTTCATTTTCGCAAGCACTAAAAACATTTCACAACCCATTTAAAACTACACACAATGGTTACATCTTCCAAATATCTTTAATTCTTCTAATGAATTCAGTTACGCGCATATATATTTATAACTTGCTTTCAAATTGTAATAAACCGAGTCGCTAACATACCACAACTAAAGAATCTTTGAAGCATACACTGTGAGAAACGATATAAAGATAACAGAGATAGTATTGCAAATATGTATTTGCATATAAAATAGACCAGGATAACATTGTACTAAATTACATAGTATTACTTGAGAAAAAAAACCTATTACTTTTTTCAGCTACCAGCCCAGCAAGCTCGACATGGGAAATGAATATCAATCTGTATTTCTTCGTTCCTCGTTTTCATTCCTAGAACCTAGAATAAAGTCCCCTTGTCAAATCTCAGTAGCAGCTATAAAACCTGTTGCTTTCAGTGGCTTTACAAGGTATTTATAACTGACTGCGCTTTCGTAGGTAATTAGGCCTTAATGTGCAATTCTATTTATAGACAAAGAAGAAAAATTGTGTACAATTTTTAGTATTTATTTCAAAAACTTGAACTCTTTACTAAAACTCTTAAGTAATAAAACTGTAAAATAAATTTTCACTAATTTAATCTAATCTGTCTTTGAAGAAATGCAGAGCAGACCCACTGAGCAAAAACTGAGCCATCTTAGTTTGTCCGTGTTCGTGTGGGAATTTCAGGAGGTTAATTTAGTTGTCTCCTACAGGTATTTCATCTAACACTAAAAATCAACAAAACACCATAACTGTAAGAATGATTTTTAACCCGAGTCTCATGGCACTTTATGCAAGTATAGTATTATTTTCATGACTTTGTTTTAGAAATAGATACTGTTAGGATAATGCAAGTGTTTGACCATTGTAAAGGTCTTCTAACACATCTCGGCAGTGGAAAAACAATCCGGAAGATTTGGAACAACCTAGAAGTTAATACATTTAAATGATGAGTATATATAAGTGCAGGATTCCCAATGCGAGGTGATAAACCACCTAAAAAACATGAGACAGCAATTGTGATAGCCTCATTAGATCTTTAATCTGTTTGCCCTGCTTAGGTCAGGTTTTTTTGTGGCACTTGACAGAAGTATAGGTGCACTGCACCGTTTGTGCAGTTTGAATGTTTACTATATGTGAGTGCTATTTGTTAATGAAATACCTGTTCCAAAACAATGTTGTGTTTCAGAATATGCTGTCACGTGAATTTTTTCTTACAAGGAAAACCCATTTAAATTTGCTATAACAACAAACAGATGTAGCTTTTATGTAGAAATTGGTATAATTTTTTAAGATTAATTTAAAGGAATAATTTCAAATATTCTGATCTCTTTTTCTAGATCCTGAGATGCTATTAATGACCAACTTGAAGGTCTCAGTGTTTTGCAATGCCCCTTGGAGAGGCTTAAAACCTAGTCTGTACCAGATATGAGTTTTATGTAAAGACCCAAACAGTTATCAGACAGTCTAATTGTTCTCAGTTGAAGAACCTTGTGCAACAAATCAACATCATAAAGAGTAATTTAGTATCTTTATTACTCAAGGGTTGCAAACTACTTTTACTCGTCAAAATAAACAGTATTCATAGCATTTTAGTCTGTCTTTAGACTTGTGTTTTCAGCTGTTTTTGCAACAAAACTTTATGAGCTTAGAAAATGAGGTGCACATTCAGCTCTGGTACAATTCTGGCCCATGATGGCTTAAATAATTTACATGTAACCTGGTTTGATGAGTGTGAACATTTTATAACAATATGAACCTGTTTTTGTGATATTAGTCCTGAACAACAAAACCCTGGATTTGCCAAAGCTGCTGTTAGTTAGAACCAGCTTTTCAGACTAGATGTTCTAGAACTGCTGAGAGAATTACCAAGTGAACTAACAGATTTTTCTCTGTGCATCCACTTCCCAGGAAAACACAATTTTTTTTGGTCCTTATTCCTTCTCAGGTAAGGATAAGAAGAATGTGTCTCTTGGTGACAGCAAAACAAAAATCCAAAACTGAAAGTGCGAAAAGTAAGAAGAAAAGAAAAGAAAGAATAAAAAAAATAATCTCAAAAGCCAGCAAGGTGCAAAATTATGATGGACACTGTTCCAGGGCAAGAGGTATACTTCCAATATGGGTCACGGCAACTTCACTAGAATGTCCATTTTAAAAATTATGGCAACCTAATAGCAATAAGAAGAGAACAAGCTGAGAAATAGGACAGAAATAGGAACACTCCCGAAGATCAATTAGAGCCATTTTGGAGGCAGTTGACACAATTTGACACTTCCCACTTTCCATTTAGCTTTGAATAAGCTGATGTCTAAAACTGCAGATCTACTTATCTATTTGTTTCAGAAATAAATCTGTATCTAAATTATGGAACACGTAATCTCCACTTTTATAACTTCACACATGCAGTATGGAAAACTAAGCATTATTTTCCCACAGAAATCACAGAATACTGAAAAAGTGAAAGATGTTAATTAAAAGTGTTTGAAAACCAAAGGAATCACTCTAAACACAGCTTATAAAGCGATTGCAATCTTCTACATTAAAAGAAAAATGATACGTACCTACCTAATTTGAGAATCTGAATCTGCCCCAAACACCTGCAGTGCTATTCATGCCTGCCCAGATAGAGCTGTGCCACAAAACCCACTTCCAAACATGTAAAGTTTCTAAAAGATTTGGGCTTTTTCCTTTAAATAGGAAATATATCAAGAGAAAAGAAATACAAAAGTAATCTTCTAGACAAAGAACAGGAAGAAAACTGTCACGTTCTCTGGTTTACATTTATAACAGGACCCTATCTAGAGATTAGAATAGTTTCAAATCTATTGTAGTTGAGGATATGATGTCATCATTTAAGGGACGCAGATAATTTAGTCCACAATATCTATTCATACCAACAAAAGAAAGCAAGAGGGGGATGCAGAGTACTTTCATACCCCACTCTCCTGAATGATTCCTATTTTACATGTACCCATCATCCATGTAAGAGTATAAAAGCAGTCTTTTTATTTTACCCCCAAAGCCATCTGCTAGTGTAACTTTTGTAAAACCACAACTGATTTCAATTCCATTAGAGGCACATGTCGGACTGACTGACTTTCCCTCTCTCTAGGCAATTTCTGAATTTTCTGTGAGGCTTATTTTTAAAATACTGAACGTTATACTTAACACATTCTATTTACAAGACATTACAGCGTTTTTCATTACTGATTTAAAAAACCTGGGAGTTTGCTAAAGAAAAGCTGAAGAGACTCTCAGGTTTGCCAAAAATAAAGTAATAATCAACACAGAAAACATTCAAAGTCAATTAATTAGTCCTCTTACCTTGTTCTTTTATCTGACGAATTTGCTTCACAGTTTCTTTCAAGATTGCACATTTGTCAGGTTTAAAGTTAAAGTTGTCAATATCATTAAAATTTGCAAAAATCAGCTCTGCAAGTTCTTCTATGTATTTATTCTCTTGCTCACGATTGCGTTTCTCAGTGCTTCTTTTAGGGCTGAAAGAGGAGTTCATAAAAATGGTGTGTTTAATGCAAGCTTGTTTGCCTTCTGGCCAGCTCAAAGATGATTTCAAATGGTTTGAGATGAGTTTAACAAAAACAGAGAGAATTGCCCCCTCTCGCTACAACTAATACAACTTACAAGTTTCTCAAGCAGAAAGGTTTCCTCTGAAACAAGCAAAGGAGCATTTAAAAAGACATCACTTATTTTTTCCCACTAGTCATGTTTTTGTTTCAAACGAGGTTTGGGATATGACGTTCAAAATATAGCTTAAACTGGTGGGGGGTGGGATTTGAACATTCACAAGTATCCTTCCTCATCGTGTCAAGGATCCAAGGAGTATAAAATGACAACAGTGTATAAAAAAAAATAAAACAGCTTAGAAAGTTAAATCAAACACTCCATACTCCCTACCTTCTCATGAAATTACAAAAGACAGTCATAAGAAAAAATGCTGAATGAGTGGTTATGCTTTAAAAATTATTTGTGTTGGTAATGCAAATACCATAACACTGCAAAATATTTTTCACGTCCCTGATTACGATGTACAAGAGAGGTGGTAAAAAAATCTTAAGATTGCCAGATGAATGAATGAAGACTCTCTGCAGTGATTAACCAAAAAACATTTTTGTGTAGCTCCTGTATTGTCATGCAAATTGTACATTTTGGCACTAGACTGGATTTAAAACAAACAAGAAAATAATAAGAAAATACAATACCTCCCCCGACTCCCCATCTCCAAATCCACAACAACACAGAATTACTGAATCAGAGCAGTTTGGTACAGACTTCTCTTTGCAAGAATGGCAAGATTGTAATTTTCTAATGATTGTGAAAAATATGTGCACGTGTAACATTTTTTCTAAGTCTTTCTCTTTCAACATCTTCAGACATAAATGGTCTAACCTGGGTCCAAGCTGATCGGGATCCTTGCGCTTTCTTGACTCTGCCCTGGATGGGTCAGAGGTATTTTCTCCCATCCCACTCATCTTGAACACATATCAGCAACTAGAAGGAAGAAAGTGCAAGAAAGGGTTATGGTGGAAAAGTCATGAGTTCTTTGTTCGTATGTCCAAGTGTCTTGTTCTACACCCAACGCAGTTTTTACTTGGCAAATCTATCATTTGAAATAGAGTTTGTTTGAAAGGTACCAATAAAAATACCACTTTTATGACCCCACAAAACACTATACAAAACTCCTGCAGAAGAAAATTTGTGGTGGGGAAGTAAAACATTATCATCTCTTTGATTGTTGCCAGTTATGTAAAAACAGGTAAGTACATTTTGTGCCTGGGTTGCTGAATTTTCATGGCAATTTTGCAAGGTTGAGTGAGGAAAGACAAAGGAAAAGCCGTAGTGCCACACAACAAGAAAAACACAACAGAATTGAAATACATTAAATGAAACATGTATCCCAGCTACATGAAAAGGTAGCACATGCAGCTTTAGTTGAAAATCAGAAGACAATGCTTGCACAAGTACATGTACAATATCGTAGAAACAGAACATCTGTCAACACTACAGATCACTGAGGAACTGATAAATATTTTGTCCATATAATCTACCTCATAAGAAAAGAACTTGTCAAGCTATCATGTTAAAACAACACTAGCTGATTATAATTTATGCAATAAACAGTCCGTGGAAATCCTGCCCCGCTCCTGGCCGTCTGTTGTCCTGTGCACCATAGGAGCGCATGAAACTCGCCTTCCCCAGATTACAGACCCCTCCATAAGTACCAATATTCTAGAGGCAGAAAACACTATTGCAAAGGGCATAGGGAGATGATGTAAACGATCAAAAAGCTCATGCAATACAGGGCAGTCCTAGCTCACCATCTGCCTAGCTGCTGCCCGTTTTGTAAGGATCATGGCAGAGAGACGCTGCCAGACATTTCAGAGAGCTCCTGTATTGTTTGGGATTAGCAGAAAAATAAACATGAGTGCCATGAAGGAGCCGAGTGTCTCCAGGAGGTGATTCATACCATGCTAAAATAAGCGCTGGAGCCCGTAATTCCATGATCACTTCACACCAGCATAAAATGGAAATCAGGTATCAAAACAAGGGGGTCCGCCACCTCCTCCTTTCGTTCCTGCCCCACCAGTTCCTTTCCCGCTGCTGGCCCCATCAGCCATGCACTGAACTCAGTGAGGGAATGCTGCGGGTTAAAACTGTAGTCCCCTTCTCTTTTTCTTTTTGACACTGTATAAGATCTAGCAGCCACGGCTTGTGGTGGAAACAGATGTTCACATGATAAGTCTTACTTTTTCCAACGAACTGGCTGAAGGAAGATATGGGCAGAAAGAGCCTGGAGAGTGAGATGTCGGCAGTTCTGCAGGGATGCTGAGAAAGGCTACTTACTGAAACATGAGCAAGCAAACCAAGACTCGGAGCCTTCTCAGATTCAGAACTGAACACCATCTAACATTTTTCTCAATTAAAAAAACCCGCCAAAATGCCAGGAATAAAAATTCCTTTCTTTATACTGAAAATATTTGCTTTTTAACCTGTTTGAGTGGAGTCATTTCCTTTTTTGAGACACTGGTCAAGTTTCATGAAAAACACTAGATCATCCCTGAAAGATACAGCTCCCAGCTGGTCTTTGATATGCATGATATCAGATCCTATTTGAAAAATACTTAGATTATCTTTTTACCAATTACGTCTACACATGCATATTTATATCTACATGTGTACGTACGCACTGCCAACATTTTGAGAACCCACTTCAAGAAGAGCAAGAAGGCCCTGGTTCTGCACCAAAGCAGAGCTGAGCTCTCAAAGGGAAGATGTACCATCCCAAACGCCACCATTCTGTACTTGCTGGGGAACTCCCAGTGACCCCAGCCAGGGCATTCACAGTGCCACACCAACGCTGACCTGTGACACTAGCTGCTACTTAACGACTACATATCTTCACTGATTTCTAGTCCCAGCAGCCCCTCACATCCTAATTTATCTAAATACAAAAAGTGGAAATATACATTTGTCTAACCGGCTAGGACCTAAGCACCTTCTTGAACATATGCAATTTCACAAGTAAGCAACAGTAGAGCTCCAAGGAAGGAGCAATATACTATTAAGAAAACTGTGATGATAATTAAAAAGAAGTTGTGAGGAGACAGCAGCTCCACGTCTCTGTCAGTGGAGAGCTGGCACTGTCCTTGGGGCTCTGTTCCAATGACTAAATTTTTCACTGACCAGGGTGAGAAAAAAAATCATCAGCATGATGAAAGCCGTACATTCCCGAGATCATCTGATCTCTGAGCCAGATTCAGATGGTGACCTAAAGTTCAGAAGAAAAATTAGGCTGGGGAATCCCTTAGTTTCTTATGCTTCCCAAGTAATACCTGAGAAATGTAAATTGGTGAACTATTTTTCTTGAGAAAAGCAAGCACAACAACTCATGAAAACTTGTCAAACATTCAACAGTCAACTTCTCCCCCAAGAGTAGTAACAATTAAAGTCAGAGGTAAGCGTTTAGGGGGAACATTCCCCTCCACTCCCCCTTCATGCCGAAGAAAGCAAATAGGAACGGTTATTGACAGTCTCCCCACCTACTCTGTCAGGCTTACTTCAAAGGGAAGTTTATTTTTGCAGGAACCAAAGTTTGATTGGTGGCTCCACCAATGCATAGCTCAACTCTTCTTGCATTCACACTGATGCTATTCTGTAGAAATTCCACTAGGTCTACGATATCAGCCTTCACAGGACACATTAAAACTAACCTCCCAGCATAAACATCCGAACTTCATCCTTCTTTATTTAAGGGAACAAAAGTGGTACCATTATTATGAAACTAGCATCTTCTTCTCCCCATATTAAACATAGTAACTGGACCTAAACAGTTTATTTATTAGTAGTATTATTTTATTTTATTTGCACTTCCAGGTCATTACCTCTTTTTCTCAGCAGTATTATCAGTTTGTTCTTAGAATGAGTTACCCGTTTCTTTTAACTCATTGTAAAGTTTTTCTGGAATTCTACTACCTACTACCATATTTGCTTTCTGCTCTCCCTACACCTTAATTAAAAACCACATTCTATACCTCAAAGATCTGTATAGGCTCTGCAGCTCCTGCGCTGTAGGTGCCAGCGCTCCAGAACAGAATGCAAAATCCAGGCTGAGGTGCCTTGGAAAGTGGAGAGCTGGACAGATGATACTAAGTCAATCCAAAAAATCTCACAGGCCCAAATGAAAGTCACTCAGCAGTATCCAGTACACAGCACTAAAATCAAAAGGAAATGCCCCGAAACCCTATCTCCCTAGGGATTTAAGGGCTGACTGGGCTCCTGAGTTAAGATAAATGAGGAATAACCTTTTAGAAGATGTGGACAGATAATCTGCTGCTCTGCTCTTCCATAATGCTACGTATCAACTAGACGAGCCAGAAACTGAGCAATGGATATTCAGTTCCCTACTGGCAGAGGGTTTTCAAGCCTTTATTTCTCAACAAGCAGGACATCCTCCTAGGCCGTAGGCTATCCACTTGCCAAAACTGGATGTTTATGAAGCAAAGAGGGCATGGTTAATTAACTCTTGCAGTCCAATAGGAGTCTTTAGGTGTGTAGCCCATACCAACTAAACCCACAGGTAAGTAGTTCAAACACTGTCTTAAGGCACAAGGGATTGAGGTTTGAATCCCTTAGGCTGAGGAGGAGGGGAACAAACTCATACCTCCCATTCCTCAGCAATGACTCTAACAAGTCAAGTCGAGTCGAAGAGATGAGCACCCTCCCAGTTTCCTCATGTCTTCTAACAAGAAAGCAGCTATTTTAAATTTTTTACATGAGGTAATTCACATTCAAGATCTATGCATACTACTGGATGAACATCTCTGGAGGGTCTAGGAACCTCTACAAATTTAATGCAGCATAAGTGAGGAACTAAAACCACAGTTTTCAGAAGAAATGACTTCTGGGCACATGTAGTACCAAAGAGCACACACCTAGGAAACTTTCAAGTGAAAAGGGGAAAACCTCATGAATTTAGATTGAATTGATAGATGAATTTTAGACATACAAACATATGTGGGTCAGGAGCAGCTGAATTGCAGATGATAGTTTCTAGTTCAGCCCTAACTCCCTCCAGACACATTAATTTATCCATCTCAAAATCTCTTGGTTATTCTTTGTTACTAATAGTTTTATAATACACAAAACTCAAAACATTGAATAAATTAATATTTTAAAACAAGACCATTTAGGAACTTTTAAAGTTGTTCTAAGTATTCTTAGGCTCCTGAACCACATGGATAGCTTCTCAAACCAGAAAATAAAACTCCCAAGCCTGAAGTCTGAATTTTTCCAGGGATCGTGACAATTCCAAACCGAAGCCACTGTGAGTAGAATGACAAGTTAGAGATGCAAAGTTTTACTCCAATAAACCTCCCCTATAGGGAACTACCTTAGATTAGAAAGCAGCATTCATCCTGCTGCTCTGATCTTTATACATGTCTGCAGGAATTTCCAGAAAGAAGAAAGATAAAGAAATTGAACACTTAGGTTCATTCAGCGCTTTAGAAGAAACGGAAAAGTAGTATCAGCTCTACCATAGGTCTTCTGAAACAAAAATCAGGGTAAGGCTTATTTAGTGTGGTATAGAACAGGAAAAGAATTAACCAAATTGGGAATTAGTAAAAACAAAACCAGCAGTCATCACTGCATTGAGGAGAGAGAGACGGAGACATATGAAATAGCATCACGATATGTCAGATGCTGAACTACACTAATTTTTATTTGAAAGAAAATGTCTTGCAAAGCTGAATTTGACTGAATACGTGCCTTGCAGAATGAACTGTCATGCAAGAACAGGCACTCCCTTTTTTATTGTCTAAGTTGTTTGGGAGATATACTGCACTGCAAAATACAAACATAATATCCCACTAAGGGATTAGTATTTTGCCTTCAGTGGTGATAGCAGATTTTTCTTCTCAATATATATTAAGGTTTTTTCCATTTGTCTTACAAAAAACCCTATAACAATAACTAAGAGCTGAACTTCTAATGCTG